AGAAGCGGCTTAATTGCTTGTCCCCAAGCTGACGAGCGTAGGCTGAAGGCCCAGCTCCAGAAAGTTGGAATATGGTTTCAGGGTAGGATACCTTATAATTTACCATAAAGGGTTTAGGATTTTGAAGCTGAGTCCGTAAGGTAGCACAAGCTCCGGCTCACTCGGGCTGCTCATGGATGCCACGGATCCATCGTGCTTGCCGCTGGTACAACAGATTGCTGGGTGTTCTTTTGGGTCTTTTGTGTCTTTTCTCTACTCGGAGTGGTGGGCTAAGGACGTCATACGGTGAAGGCTCCGGGCCTGTCTAGAAGACTACGGTATGGGCTCCGATTGCACAGCGAGGGCTGGGCCGAGGTTTGGCGTTTTTGCTGCGGAGTCCCAAGAGCCGAGGGCTGGGAGCAGCAGCTAATCCTCGGAGTGTAGCTTTCTAGCTTCCACCAAGCAAGCCGAAGCACCGACGCAGTGGAGACACGGCAGTGTGCATATTCGAAGGCACTCCTTGTTGGATGGCCAGAGGATGGGAGAAGGTGTAACTACGAGATCAACCCGACAGAAGGGCACCACTGCAACTCCCGCCGTACCGCTTGAGCCTGCGAGGGAAGCATTAAGGGCGCAACGGCAGTCGTAAAGAAACGGTTCCAAAACAAACGAAAAACATTCGAGCTTCTGGCTACGCAGGACATCACATCTTGTGTGTACTTTGGGAGTCGTGGACTTCAGTTTCTATGGAGCGCTGGCAGCAAGCGGCGCACCAGACACTCCCAGCAATGCCCAACATTGTGCAGGACTCATCCAAAGCCGGCCTAACCATAGCTGGAGCTTGCAAGTTCGTGCATCGCCTGTGCTGGAACACGACGGAACGACGACCAACAACATTTACTGGCAAAAGTCTGGGAGCATGCGACATGTTGGAATGGCTGACGCAAATGAAGGCCTCAGTGTTATCTTCTGGCTCTACTCCTTTGTTTGTACCGTCAGAAAACGCTCTTTTGCATCTCTGTGCTGCTGGTTGAGCACTTTTGCTGATCACATTGCATCGAGACGCTGAGACTGATCCAATCCTGCGCGCCTGGCCGAGGATTGTACAGACGATTGAACGACGAGGGGCCATTCCTGAGTGGAACGAGGCATGGGGTCAGCGTTGAGGGCGGCTGTAAGTGACCAAGTCCTATTGAGAGATTCAGGTTGCCCCAGGAAGCCCTTGCGCTCAGGAGCTGATCTGGTCACGGTAATCCGGGAATTAACGAAGCAGACATTCCTTGAGATGCTGTGTGCGAAGCAGCAGGTCGCTCCCGAAGGAAAGCGCGTAAGCAAATATGCAACTCGGACGCAAGCGCTGCAAGTGCAAGCGACGTCGTGTGCCTCTTCACTTTATCCGCTCCACCAGATGTTTCGCACGTAGGACACGGACCGCCGTATTCCCTTTGCGAAGATCTCCGTGAAGCATTGTCACAGTTGGGCGCAGTAGGCTTATCTAGAGGCGGCATGATTCCCAACCCTGTCAACTTGTCAGAAATCTGGGACACAACTGGAATAAAACTGTGCTGCTAGAAGTTTGTTGAGCTCAGCATCTCGATCCCTGTCTCGTGGAGTGTTGTCCTCTCCAGTTGCTTCCCTTGAGCTTGGCGGATTGAAGAAAGCCGCTTTTTCAAGGTCCGTCACATAAACAAGAGGACCTGGAGCCACTCCAAACTCCAAGCTGACGTCCTGCGTTGATGCAGTCTGTAGCATGCCACTATAAGATACATGTGCACCTGGATGTATGTGAATGCGAACAAGTGTATGCAAACATTCGTGTGAGTATTCGTGTATGTGTTTTCACATGATGTTAATATGTATGAATGTCTGATCGTTTGTTTGTTGGTCTGTCTACGTGCACATGCGCTTGTCTGTGCATTTGTGTCTACATGCATGTATGAGTGCATGCATGCACTCATGCAGGTAGGTGCCAGGCGGGTAGGTGTGTAGAGCTATGTCCGTTTATGTGTGCATGCACATGTATGTATACGGGCATGCTCATCATGCACGTATGCATCTATAGTCCGAGTTGCGAGAGCGTATACGTAGACGGATAGATAGATGGACAGGTAGGTAGGCAAGTACGCAGCTTGCTCACATGTACTTCTATACATGTATGCATCACAACTGCATGTATATGTGACACATGGTGCTTATCTGTTGAAGCTTCCTTCACCCCTGGGAGCTGACAGGACCGCGTTACGGAGGTCAACGGCGAAGGTGGCGAGAGCGAAGAGTTGATGGAGCGTTTGCTCAGTTCCTTGGACTTGGCAGCCCCGTGCGTTAGGGAGGCGAACAGGCTCGCTTGGAGTGCCGACTACCCCTTGCTTATGCGTTTTGTACCATAGCTATGATTGGAAGAGGGGAAGGTGATGGAGCCTGCAGAGTCCAGTGCAAAGACGAACCCGGTTTCCACATTCCACACTTTGCCACTTTGCTGTAAAAAGCAAGGTCTACGATAGAGCCGCTGAATCAGCACCGACGTTCGTGATGAAAAGCCCTTGAGGCTTAGACCTCACGCTGTTTACCATCACCGTCCAAAGACCGGAGGCATATCCCGCTCGCTGTGCGCTTTCGTTGGGTTTGTTTACGGCTTACGATTGTGGGAGACTGGACCTGCAACCCTTTGCACACAGTCAAGGCATTCTGCACGGCTGCGCCACTCTCGGGAATTTCAAGGAGTTTTTGGATGTTTAGTTTAATCGAAAGGCCAGAAGAACCCCCAAGTTGAGAAAAATTCTGCACACAGTTCCCGGTGTGACGACCTGTGCCAGGCGCGGCTCGTGAAATTGCATTTGCCCGGCGACACTGGAATGAGCGTGGACTGCGAGCACCTGGGTCGGCGATTGAATATGCAAGGGGATGCTGACAAGTCCTTGTCGTGTCGTTAGATTGGTTTGCATGTCTTTGTAGGACACCGATTTCGTTTGGAACCGCCTATGGGTCGCTGTAAAGCCCGGAACTTGGACAATGCCAATCGAGCTACTCAGTATCAGTAGCAATTCTGCATGTGTCGAGGGCTGGACCGGAGAAAGCAAAAGCAGGAAGCGATCAAGTCTGCTTCGCCTTCATCCTCAACCCCCCATCCTATCCGTCGGGGGCTCCCTATCAGCCCTGCCGTGTGCAAGGAAGAGCAAATCTGCGGTGCCTTGGATCAGTCGGATCTCCAACGGGCTGCTCAAGAGCTGGAATGAGGACATGCCGGAGCAGTCGGCTGCTTGGTCGTATCTTAGCTTCCCAAATTCTGGGGTTCGAAGAAGCCGTCCCAAGAGTGCATATGTCAGCAGAACTACCGGTCAGTAACACAGAAGAAGCCTTGTCGGAAGAGGTTGCGGTCCACGACCGAATCGTCTCCGTGAACGGATGCGCCGGCTCGAGCGAGCTCATCCTGGATCGGCCCACCGGCACAAGAGGGCCTGCGATACTGCACGGAGCCTTTTTTTGTCACAGGCGCATAATTGTTTACCAGGTCCGGGTCTGATCATGCTCCCATTCGCTGCGGTTCTGAGGGGCCGATGTTTGTCAGTGTGCTAGGACTTGCCAGTGTGCAGCTCTGCAGCGGGGGAAGGTTAAGGCTTGCTGTTGCTGGTATGAACAGGCAGTGTCTCAGGTGGGGCGAAGGCGGTCACTTCTGCTGCACGTTGGCCAGGGCACCCTTCCAACTTCATTCTCGCATGTTCAAACTTCCAACTGAAGAAGTCTCTGTACGAAAAGATTCGATTTTCGAGGTTGGCATTGGCCGAGAAGACGATCGAGCTCCTGGTGCCTGGGCCGAGAAATGAATACAGTCCAGGTCTCACGTCGTTAGAATGATGAAAGGCAGTGCAGAAGTGCTCGGAACCTGGCTTGAATGCTGTCCCTGATGCAAGGACGAGGTTGTGGTTGTGGCTCGTGTGTAAAGCCGCCAGGTGATTCTGATGATTTGGGGGGCAGCATCAGCAAACCAAACTCTGTCAGTCTGTTATGTAGTGCATCCCAAGGGTAATTTCAACCCGAGTGCTTGCAAGTATCCGGGGGCCGTGAAGATCGCTGTGCAGCTGTCGAACCCCTGCAACCTCCGAGTGATGTTCCCATGAGGTGCTGCACTATGCCATTGAGTCCTGAGCGAGTCTGGCCCGTGACATAGCACACAGGGCTGCACCAGAGTCAGACTGTCAAAGCACAAAGCAACCAAAAGGCTCCGGCGCTGGTGGAGTCCTTGTCAGTAAGGGCACATCGTTGCATCTCAGGCACATGATTGTTGAAACCAGGAAAGGCTGATATGGGCCGTCAGTAGCGATGACCACTCTCGTGTTGTCTGCAGCTTTCAGAGATATCATCCTTTGAATACGGGTCCTACGCTATAGGGTAACATTAGGATCCCCTGTTTTCGGCAACTCCCATGTCAGACCGTTGCCAGCTGCCAGCTGCTTTGGATGAGACTCCACAGCCGCGTCTCACAACGTTTGCTCAGATGCCCGCCTGCACCCTCGCAGAACCGAGACGGACAACTAAACGAATCGGCCCAGCTCACTTATTTGTGCTTGAGTTTGGCGGCAGGCCTGGCTTGAAATTGGGCATTCCGGTGCTGCACATGCAGCTGTGATCCCTCCTCAAAGCTAAAAGAAGCCATGCTGCGAAGCGCCGCTGACCCTTACTGTAGCTGGCTCTCTTTGTCTCTTCCCTCCCTCGCTCGTTCCTAGCTCCCCTTCCTCTCGCCCAGTCCAGCACTCTCTCTCTCTCTCTCTCTCACGCTTCCGGCGTGCATCCTGCGTGCTGCAATCTCTTGCATACATGTTACATGACTCGTGAAGATATCAAACCTGGGTGCTTGGGATGGGGCAGTTGTTCAGGATGGGATTTGCCCGATAGGTGAAAAGCACGAAGATCTTTTCTGCAAACGAAAGCAGTCAAGGAGCAAGGGGAATTTCGCATCAGGGCGTCGGGTCTGAGCTGAGGCAGGAATTCGCAAAGCTGCCAGATCTGGTACCCCAGACATGCAGGTGTTCTCGCTGGTCGCATCTGCCGCGGGGCCGAAGGTCTTGTGGAGCCACCTGCAGACACTCAGGGCACCTCAGCAGCAACACAGTTCCTGCCGGGAGCCTTTACATGCCTTCCTGGGCTGCACATCTTCTCTGACTCACTTGAAAACCAGACTCCGGCGTGCAGACATCTGTCATCTCAGAGACCCGGTACCTGGAACGCTTGGTCGAGGGACTTCTGAACCACACAGCTGTGGAGCGCAACAGGAAGCTTACTGGAGGTGGTGCTTTTTTTCACGCCATCAGACGATTGAAAGAGAAAGAGAGAGATGCACCTCGAACAGATGCGGTCATTCCTGGAAATAATATAGGTCCCCCGACCCGTTTATGACCATACGCAGTGCCTTGGAGTAGGACTGGCTTAATTATCTTCAAGACAGGTAGGTATCGTTACGTATGCAGACTTCTGACTTTAATGGGGGGTTGAAGCCTGAGAAGGCTTGCTTGTTGTCCGGGTCCAATCATTCAACCCACGCAAGCTTCACCGGCAGGGGTCTACGAGAACAGCGGGACCCAGTGTTGGTGGTTCTATGGCAATGCATTCAAGGCCATTTGGAAGTCCGGAGGTTCTGTTGGTGCAAGGCTCTTGCTGCAACGGCCTCAAGTGTCGAGTCCCAACAGCGGTGCGGTGCAGCTTTACGCACCTCCGATAGAAGCAGGCTCTCCCACGGTTACGGGTTGTTGGGCTGTCGTCGAATCAACTTTAAGGGAGTTGCCGGCATACACTGCAAGTCCGTGCTTTAAAAAAGGAGATGCCTGGTCGCTCAAGAAAGGCCAAGCAGGGAGACTTTGACAACACTTCACACATGAATGATCTTTTCGTCCGTTGCAGGTTTATTAACGATTCGATGTGTGTGTGTGTGTGTGTATATATATATATATATATATGCTACCCCCCCTCAAGGATCCACCTTTTTCGTGTTTTTGAGAGCCGGATGCGAAATAGTTGATATTCTATAACGTATACCCTTTTCTTTACAAGTCCTTCACTAAATACGCTTCGACTGCATCAAAGATTTCGCAAATCCTAAATTCTGCATTTCCTTCATATACACCCTGAGTTTTTCCAAGCGACATACATTCACGTACGGCTTCTTCTCGTTGCAAAAGAACGCAAGCTTGCATGCATGTTCTGTGTCTGTGTATAGGTTTCTGCATGCAGCAATATGGGCTCTGAAGGTAACACGCAACAGGAGAGCAAAGATACATCATCCCATATAACATAGTATCACGACAAGTATAGATATGAAAAGAGGGCCCTATTTCTACACCTCCCATATATAAGACGCATCGAGATTATAGATAATGTCCGCGAACACGAAATCTAGCGAACCTTTCAGGGCTCAATACCTTGTATTTCACCAATAAAGCACCCTTTAGATTACATTTTGGAATACTTTGCAAAATTCCACTCTCATAACCTTCATATCTTGTAGAAATCCATCTGAATATCCTGTCGCATACCGTATACAAGACCACCTATATATGATACACCCCGCACGCATTATATTACACATACCCTATAGGGCACTCTATACAAGACACTATATAGAATATCTTATAGGATGTCCTGTAGAATACTTTCTCTATGTATCTTGAAACCTTTCATATGGAATGCACTGATATAGAATACCCTCATGCGTTATTGAATACCCTAGAGCCTCTAGAATACCTTATCATATACTTTCAGGCATAGTCCGTATATCTTTTGAATATCCAGAGTACCTTACAGAATACGACATAGAGTACCCTGCAAAATACTTTATGGAACACATAGTACCCTCTATATGTCGTGCGCCTCATGGAAGACCGTCTGGAATACTCTATAGAAGACCTTACAGAATGCCCATATGGCCCTATACATGACAGTCCTTGTATACAGTATTTATACCCTGAACCCATATAACACTTAGTGCCTCGAAACCAAACTTTTCAACTCTTGGCCCCTAATAAGGTAATCTTGTTGCGAAAAATTAAACTTTTTACACCCCCATAGGTATTTGGGAAGTAAGAATACCTATAGATAACCTTTCAACGAGCCCAAGATCTGAGAACCCCTCATAAAGAAGCAGCCTATTGGGTAAGGGATTTCTTAGGAGTGATCCAGGAGTCGAAGAGAATAACCTAAAGAATACCACAAACCTCAAGAGAATTTCGCGCAGGTGACCCTAGGTAATACGTTATAGAATACCCCCTATATACCTCATATATACCTTCTTGAGTACCCTATAGCCGTATAGCCTATACATTAGGTTAAAGAATACGTTCTATAAGATAATCTTTACGTTCATGTTGATGCCTTGTACAACCCGTTATACAATGCGTTATGGAGTACCCGATAGAGAGCCCAAAACAACGTTACATACTAGGCCTTTTATAGGCCTTGTAGAATATCATCTGCAATCCCCTACAGACTGGCTTACAGAATATACACAATGTCTATGATACCCTCTGAGTACCCCAAAGGAAGTCCTAAAGATAACCCTATGGAATATTCTATAACATACCCGTAAAATGCACCATAGAATGCCTTGTAGAATACTTTATAGATAACGGGTTAATGGGAGGAAAATCAGGAGCAGAATGCTCTGCGCTATACCTGCTATGTGCCCAATGAAGAAATCAAAAACAAGAGCATATAGAACACCTTACACGATAATCCTTCTTTACATCTTAAAGAATTTCATATAGATACCCATGGATTACAGAAACCTCTTATACCTTTATGAACCTTGTTGAATACCCGTTGGTGATTTCGCCAATATTTACAGACCAAAGAATGAACGCTCAGCTTGACTAAGATGTTCTCCACCACTTGCCATCATTTTGAAAAACCGCTCACCAACACGCAGCACTCGAGATCCTGGTAAACACGTTCGGCACATAAAGCACAAGCTTCATGAACAAGTGACATAAGGAAAAATCACAACAACAAAACTTTAAAGATGCGAACAAGTGCCATCGGGTAGGTAGCCGACAAACACTTCGTTTTCTGTAGGATCTGTAGGCACGGCTTGGTTCTGAGGTTCTTCACTTTAGAATATGTGTTCTTTTCAGGAAGCATTATGAGCATCACCATCGTGTAAACAAGTTGAACTCAGACACGACGTGTAAAGTCTCAAACCTCTGCGATCATCTCGTCGGGAAGCGACGACGCGCGCTCAAACACCGCATCCATATGGCCCGATCGAGAATACAGAACGCAGAATGTGTAAACTGAGCACTTGGCTTCAAGCAGCTTCAGACTGTGTGCCCGGAGCCGAACGGAAAAACTTAACTGAAAAAACCTAACTGCAAAACCAAAAAAGCCTAAAAAACCTAAACTCGGGAAGTCCTTCAGAGAGATATCCATGACAAGACTCTCGAGATTTAGGGTTTTTAGGTTTTTTAGGTTTTTTTCAGTTAGGTTTTTTCAGTTAGGTTTTTCCAGGTATGTTTTTTCAGCGAGGTTTTGTCGATTGGGTTTTTCAGTTAGGCTCCCTAAACCCCCAAACCCTTGCCCGGGGCCCTTGATGAACAACTGTGTAACGACGTTGTCGACAGCGCGTAAATGAAGCCAACAAACGGTGGATCCATGGGGGGGGGCACCATATATATATATATAAGTATAAATATAAATGTATATATATATATATATATGTATGCAACCGCCCAACCTGAGAATCACTGTTCACCAAGGCAGCCGGTACGACTCCACAGTGGATGACCCAATCAATCCAAAGGCCGTCGATCTTTCCGCGGCAGCCAGTTGCGAGCAAATCGGGAACTGATTCGGTTTGCCCAGTAGCGGTGCGGCGTCCTCAAAGGTACTTGTTGCGTGACCCGTCGTGACCCACAAGTTTCCAGCCAGAGCTGCAAGTGGTAAGGCACAGCAGTCTCCATTTCATGCATGAGTCTGCACAGACTCTCGCAGGTTTTCTGCGTGTTCCGCGACTTTCAAGCCATTCCTCTCTACCTGGCGGAGATATCGGCGGCGTGAGTTTTTGGCAATGTAGGTTTTCTGGGCTGCCAGGGCCCCTAGCTGTGAGACCCTGCCCGCAGTTTCGAGGTCGGTGTCTGAGGTATAGTTGGAATGTTTGTACTGGAATATTTGGCTTGGGCGATGCATCGCCCAAGCTCCAACCAGACTTCTTCAGTCTTTCGCCAGGACTCATGTAAAAGCTGGTGGACATTTTCAGGCTACATAACTCAATTGTACTATGGAGGCCGTTTATGGGTGCTTTCTTTTTGATGATGCTGCATGCTGGTGAAGGTGGATAAATTTTCCAAAAGAAAAAGGCAACGATGCCAGCAGAAATGAGCATGTTTCAAGCTGTCGACCTCGGAGCGCCGGCCGAAATTTCCCCAAGTTATAGCCGGGTTCGGATGCAACGGATCTAGCCATGTGACTTTGTGTCTTGCGCCACGCAGGCAAGGTTCGCACATGCTAACGCGCGATGCTTGTTTTCAGGTTGCACTCTGAAGTGTAAATCGGGGCGGACTGTGTAGTTGTTTCGCCGAATCCGGGCTATGGGAAAGGCTCTTCGAAACGCGAATAAACTCAGAGCACCGCCCGCAGACGCCCAGTGTCATGCAAGGCTCAGTTCAAGAGCAACCCAACCCTGGCTTAGTGTCGGCACACCCAAGTGCACGAGCTGCAGAGAATACGCAGGGTTTTGGCACAAGTTTCGCGCTTTGCACCGAATTTGGGATTTCAGCTTAATGTGGGATGCCAGCTTACGAATTTGCGTGTCAAGTTTCTTGCTTGGGGCTCAGGAGGTTCAGCGTTCACAATTCTCGGCAGCACTTCGCTCTTGAGTGAAAGCTCGCAGTTTCACCGCACCAGCTCAGGAAACCGGGGGGAGTTCCCGCACTTCCCGAACCTCGTACTTGCAGCACCCGAGTCCTCCTGGTCTGCAGATTTGAACTTGGGACACCGCTCGCAGAGGATGGTAAGCCCCGCAGCCCTCGGAAAGTTTATCATGCTGGTGCTGAAGACTTATTCCCTCGCGTTTGCCATCATTTGAACGATGCGGTCGTTTGAGGGTGTAGTGCCTGACAGCAGCACAGACAGCCCGAAGCATGGTATGTAAAGTTCCCAGCTATACCACCAATGTATAGGCTCTTTAACTGAAACAGCCTCGACATCGATGGTGAAGTTTCGTGAGTCTCGAGCCATTCTGACATGCTGGATCACGGCGCAGCTGTCATGGCCACCCTCCAGACCCCAGGTGCAGAGTGCGCCCCCAAAGTTTGGCGTGACCTCCTGCAAAAATGAAGCCGAGAGAGATTGAACCGGGTTTAGACGTGCCGTAGGTCCTCGGCCGAGCCATAGTTGAGGATCCCAAGATGAAAGGGCTCCCAGACAAGTTGTTTGCCGCAGGCATCCAAGCCAGTAAGCCCCACATCTGACCCCAACATGCCCCCAGCTCACTGTCAGTATCATTCACTGTACTTACTATGATTGCTGTTTACTGTTGGTATTATGGCAGGACTCCGCGTGCAGGACGAGGAGCACCAGGCAGGTGGGTGCTGTAGCCCTGATGGCGCCAGGCTTGAAGGGTGTTGGCCGGGATGTTACGCTTCAAGTAAGAAGGATAGATTTGGGAGTTTCCGAAAATTATGGGTACCTGAATTTAGGGTTTAGGGTCGTTATAATAAGGATCCCACTATTTAGGGTACTGTAGTAGGGTCCCCTATTTTCGGAAACTCCCATTTAAGATGGCATTTGCCACTTAGCCAGGACAAGTCGAGCCGTTTTCGGAGTTTGGATATGTGCCGATCTGCCAACCCAGAGCATGACAACAGGCATGAAACCAAAACCATTGCAACGGTGCCGTTCCAGTTCGTCTGCCCGCCGCTGCATGATTTCCGAAGCTTTTAACACTCAGATGTTCGGCAAGTCCACACCGGTTCACTCCACGGGCGGATGCCCTGAAGCCACCAGCAACACCTGCAGCCCAGCCCAACCCCACCACTCACACATACTCCCTGACTCCCCGGAGCACAGCACCTGAAGCCAGAGCCGCCCTCGAGCTGAAGCATCGAGGATGTCCGTGGCCATGGTGCTTCACACTCATGCAGCTGCCAGGCGAAGACATGCCCAAACTCACCTTCGCTCCTTCTCAGTCGAGTTCGCTGGCAGCTGAAGGGTCGCGCTATACAAAGTCTGGGCGGCTGTGCCGGAAATTGGGGCTTTAGATCATTTGCATGGGCCCCCACATACGTCGGAAGACGAGACTTAGAATGGCTTCGTACCCGAGGGTCTTATCTGATCTCACACACCATGTTTGCTATGTCTCGACATGCGACTTTAATGCATCGCGTGGCCATTTTGGCTTAAGTGCTGTTATTCTGTTGCCCGCCCTCCCATCCCTATGAGGCAGGATACTGATCCATTCTGGGCCCATGGCATGGGCTTTGGCCCTGTGCGGGCGAGGTCTTCTCACCTCAGCCTGCCCTGGGAGTCTGGCACTTTTTCTTTTCTGAGCACACAGCCTTCTTCTTTGAGCCAGTCTCTCGAGGAGCTGCTTCGAGCCCCTCTGCCTGTGCCTGTGCCGAAGCAGTGTTCTACTGTTAACACTGGTCTGCCTGCAAGCTCTTCTGTAGCTTCGTTGCCGACGTCTTTCCGTGCACCTGGTCAGGCAAAAGGGTTTGGCTGGAGTTCGCAGGAGGAACGCACTAAGCGTGTGCAGGCGCTGTGTAAGTGGTCCAACCTGCTGAAGCTGGCGCCTGAGCTGTTCTGCCTGGCGACTGTGGAGAGGTTGCCTACTGAAGGCGATGAGTCTGTGGTGGAGCATCTTGATGTTCTGTTCAGCAAGAAGAGCACTAACACGCTGTTAACTCGGGCCTCTCCTTTGACCAGGTTTGTCTTGTGGAGACGGCGTACATGTCCCGAGGATGTGACATCCGAGAGCGTTGTGTGGCTGCACTGTCGCTGGCTTCAAGGTGTTGCTGCTGCGTCCAGCATCGACTCCTTCGTGAGCAGTCTGAACTTTGTGCACGGCACTTTGGGCCTACGTGTGTCTGTGCAGGAGCTGCTGTCTGCTCGGGTGCGTGGCCTTGCCCATGCACATCTGCGCACTAAGGAGGAAGTGGCTCAGGCCTCTGCTCTGACTGTTGCTCAACTCAGGTGGCTGGAGTACTACGCTGCTACTGCTGACGACCTCTACGAGAGACTGGTGGCTTCAACTCTCTGCTTTATGGTCTTTGCCCGGGCGCGCCGCAGTGATGTTGCGCGCGCCACTCACATTGAGTTTGACCTATACCCGGATGGGCTGGATGGCTTCGTTGAGTGCAGAGTGAAGAACCCCAAGCAAGCAAGAGCATGTAGCAAGAGAAATCTGTTCATGCCGCTGACTGCTCTTTTCAGTGGCGTGTCTGACATCCCCTGGGGCGCCACTTTCCTGGCTGTTCGTGAGGCAAACCGCTTGGAGTCAAATGGTGCACTTGACCACCCTCTGCTTCCTGGGCTCACTGCTGCTGGTTTGTGGTTGCAGGAGTGTGTAAGCAGCAGTCAGCTTACTCAGTGGCTCCGCTGCATCCTGGCGAAGGCCCCTGATGCTGACCTGGCGGCCATTGCTGCGGTGCGAAGTCACAGCTGTAAGGCCACCCTGCTGAGCTGGTGTGCTAAGGCTGGTTTGACTGACAAGACCCTGACTTTCCTGGGTTACCACAGCCACGGCGTCAACATGTCGAATGTTGGTTATCGCAGAGACGCTCTTGCTGGTCCTTTGCGTGAGCTGTGGCAGGTCGTGTCTTCGGTGAAGACGGGCAAGTTCGCCCCAGACGTCACTCGCAGCGGTCGCTGGCAGGAACCGGGTAGTCCTGTGAGCTCGGCTTCCGCTTCGCTGGTTTCTTCGCCACCCAGCAGTGCGGAGCGCAAGTCTTCTGCGGCTGCTGCCTCTGCTGCTGCTGCCGCTGCTGCGACCAGCAGCTCTAGTGGCTCTTCTGAGGCTTCCTGTGACAGTGATGATGGTGCTGATCAGCTTGTGGCGGCTGCCCCCCACTTTGTGGAGAACATCCTTGGTCTTGGGGGCTACGCTGTGGCTGGGAATAAGAAGAACAAGTTGCTGCACATTGTGAAGCAGAAGACAGGGCGCCTCCTGTGCGGTCGCCTGCTGTCTGACTCCTTTGAGGTCGCTTCTGCTACTGACGCGGGTGATAGTCGTTTTTGTCGTACTTGTAAAACTTGTGCACTTGCCTGCGTTTAGTGCAGGGGCTGTGAAGCCGCTGGCCTGCTTCTGACAGCTGGCACTGTCGGCACTGTGCCTCTGCCGCTGTACTGCTGTACTCTGAGCGGTATGCACTTCGTCACCGCTGTGCTTTGTGTTAGATCTTCGGCTGTCGATCTGCAGCTGTCGGTCTGGATGGACCACACTGGCTTGTGCCGCCCCACGTCTGTAAAAAGGTGTGTGCCAACTGCATGCCTGCATGCTGTTTCTTTTAGTAGAGCGCGTGCATTAAGTAACGCTAATGACATGCAAACCGGATGCAACATCCTCAAGCTCAGTGGAGAGCACAGGCTTCATGCCAAGCCTCAACGGGCATTTCCCACAGGAGCCTCCCATTCGTGGTAAGATTGCCCGGATTCGCTTCTTAGCCGACATTTGCCAGGCCAGATGCAGCAAAACCACTGGCAGTTCTGGAGGAGGAGGATCTGCTCAACAGCCGAGGTGGGCAATTAAGGGCCAATGAAGGGTGGCCTCAAGCGGGTGCACTCCTCGCCATGGCCGACAAACGGATGTCACTGTCACTACATGGTTGTGATCAAAAACTAAACACAGATTGACTGAAGTGTTTGCAACAACGGCTGGCGGTGTACGCAGGTACGTAGGTTACATAGCTAGGCAGATCGACATGCGTGCATGCATGCATGCATGTTGTATTGCAGACATACAAACATGCATACTCACATGTAGATAAACGGTTTGTACTGTAGGTAGCAATTCTTCGGGCTTTGTGAACACGGACGCCAGTTTGGTGACTGAGGCGTGGAGACTTCGCCCAACAGGCAAATCTCCGCCGCGACGTCCACAAGCAGTGGGATTAAGGACACGGACACCAGGGCATTTCCACTGACTTGCAACCGCTGTACCGCAGCCATGCCATTCTTCTCTGAGAGCATGGAAGTTTTTCAGTCCCTGTTCTTCCCACACAAACATCAGGCCAGCCCGGACTTGTGACAGGCCCCGACAGCCGACTCGTTCACGGGCCTCTTCCTCAACATATGACTCAGCTCCCCGCTCAGCCACGCCAAATGACTACAATTAAGATGCGATAACGGATAAAGCGGTGCATGCCGAAATCAGTTCAACTCGCGTGAAGCAATTTCCTGCTTACCCCAGCAGCGCGCTGTTCCCTATGACAGCCCCGAGAGCCAAGTGCTTGCAGGAGATGTCGGTGTTGTCTTCCCGAGCTCTGATCAGCCGCCAGAACTTGCAACAGGTCCCGCACTCTCTGTGTAGAACCAGCCAGGAAGGGTTCGTTCTGCTTTTGCTTGTTGTTTGTGGTCGGGTCAGGGCGGCACAGTAAGACCATGGCCCGTGAACTGGCATGAACTTGGGGCCGACTGGTTTTGGTGCTGAACCGTTCGGAACAATATTCACGATACATTCACGATAATAAGTCAATAACGATAAGTGGCATAGTCATATGGTCATACGAATCAACAAGAACATGCTTTCAAGCCGGTAGGAGATGTGGAGCCCGGAAGAAGCTGCGCGCAAAGAGCGAGTCATTCCTTTGCTGTTCCTTGGCTTATGGAGCTTCTGAGCTTCGGGACGATGCTTTCCGAAAATAAAGGCCGGCGTATCACACCTTGTGATGCCACGTTGTCTTCTTGAATCTTGCACGTTCTTGCCAATAGAATTGAACACCCCCGAATGGGCAGGTCACATGCCCTCACAGCCCGAAAACGGTCTGGTTCTGCACTCTCCTCAAGTCGGCATGCAAAGGCCACTGTTCCCCGGATATTCCCACGTCCCGATGGGCTCCCAAGAATCGGCTGACGATGCTGCCCTGTGCCACTGTCACAGCCTTGCTAATCGCCCCAAGCAGCTGCAACAAACACGAATAATAGCGAACATCCATAAGAACAACGAGAACGACAGTCGGTTGTTGGAGACAGTACGAGCAGAAATGGTGTTTGGCCAAAGGGGTGGTCAGTGTTGTGCCGCCCACTCTACCCAACAGTGGAATAGACATTGTAGTATTAATGTCACCTTGGTTCCCATGACGACTGCATCTTAAGAACATGGATATACTTCTTGTAGTAGTCGCTACAATAGTGCTACACCCTAAACCCTACACCCGAAAAAGCACTACGCACCGAGGACCTCGTCTGGCTTGCCCGAGTTGCGAGAGCATAAACCCTAAGCCTTACTGCTCCGGAGACAAATTAGCTGTGAAAACTTAGCTCATTCAATTGTTCAATCAAGACTCCCTGCAATGCGGGTTTCGTCCTTGCTAAGTAGGTGGGAAAAACTAAGTTATAATCTAAGGGGAAAAGGAGGGACCCTTAATGGGGACCCCTACCCTATAATGGGGCTACGTATATAATGGGTATCTAATATACTAGTAGTCGGAGCCTCGACCTGAGGAGCCCGAGCCTCGACCTGCTGAGCCGCAGTGAGCCGGGAGTCTTCGGGCAGAGCTTCGGAAAGCAGACGAGGGTTCCAAAAGAGAGGACTCTGAATAAGGGGCAAATAGAAGAGGGGCACTTCAATTAAGGTGGTACTGCAAGCAGTTTGGGGCTCTTCGGGCTTGGCCGGGAGGATTCTGGGCTGGGTCCGCAAATATTGGCAAAGTCAGCGCTGCGGTGTTCAGGATTTGGGGGGGTGTTTTTGGATCCAGCTTTGTGTCTTCATGAGACAATGTCAGACATAAATGGCTCCGGCGGCTTGCAAGATCTTCTTGAAGTGCACGGATGTCCATGCCCCTGGCACAGCAATGGACGAAACTTGTACAGAGGGACAGCAGCCGGAGGAGGGAGCTTCACATCGGTGACGCTCATGTCACTAGGCCAAACCCATGCCACGCATTGCTCTAGTACGGGCTGCTCCTAGCGCCGGGCACGTAGTTTCATTCATGTGCTCGCACCGGCTTGACATGCCCTCATCCCGACATGTCTCAACCTGACGGCTTTGCTGCAATGACTTGTTGCGAACGAGTGGGACGTGGTGTTTCGGGTACATAGGCCGGTAGTCGAGCACACAGGGAAGATGCTTGGCCTGCATTCAAGCGCTTTTGATATCGCCAGCTCAGGATCTTCTACCAGAACCTTTTCCAGAATCCCGAGCGCTTCGCCTGCAGCCCTTGTGTTTTCTGAAGGGCCTTGCAGCCTGTCATGGCCAGGTCTCAGGTTTAGCCCTTCAAATGCTGTGATGGTTCAAGTTTTGGCCAGCCAAAGCTCGAAAAGTCAATGCGCAACGACTCAAGGCATGGATGTTCCGTATTCAGCTGTTCTGCTCAAGCGAGGCATGCAAAGTCCTTCAAGCTGCTCTTTGCTGGAAAGGATGCCTGGCTGCCAAGATGTAGGAGCGGTGCAGAAGCGAAGCGGCACTTGGGCACTGAATGGCTCCAGGTAACCAGGACTAGGAATCCCCCGACATCGACCCAGCGACCGCCTCGTCCAAGGACATGGAGAGGACGACCAATGCCTTTGGACGCATTCCCTGCGAGATGCTGCGACTGCTGATGCTGCCAAGCAAAGGCCTCATGGTTCTAGCCACCTGGCAGTTGAGGCTTGACGGCGGCACTGCAAACTTGATCTAGTACCAATGCGATCTCATCGAGTTACATACCTATGATGATTCCGTCGCGGACGATCGGATGAAGCAGCGAGTGCACAAGCTTGAAGCTTCCATGCCCTGTCACCTTAGCCCTCGAACCCAAACGTCAAGCCCAGGCACCACTGCCAGACGAGGCTCCCTTTCCTTACCCTCGGTGTTTTCCAAAGTCTCAGGTAGTCTTGGTGTTTTGTTCCGCAAATTCCCGACGAGCTCTCGTCGTACGTAACCTGTGCAACCATCCTCAAAGTCCAGAAGGCTCGAAGTCGTGCTTGAGAGACATCTAGAAGATCGCAAAGAAGCCACCAAAGAACACCAAGGAGACCTTCAGCCTAGCCCTGCGTCACGTGGATTATGGTGCTCAGCGCGAGCACAACGAGGCCAGCTTGGCATGGATGGTTCCTCAGGAGACAGGATTGAAAGTCACCACTCTTTGTCGCAAGGGCGTGGATTGCAAGGCTTTGAAGGGGAAGGCCGCGATATCCAAAGCATACTCTGGAGCCATCACTTCGCAGCAATTTGTGTGTAAGCGTCTTCGGAACTTGTGCACCCTTGCAAAGCTCCCACAACGCACGCAAACTGAAGTAAGGGTGCGAATCTAAACACAGGCTCATTGCCCTTTCGCCCGGCCACGCCAAGCAATTTTTGGAGCCGTCACATTAAGACCTTGACCCAAGTGTCAACAGCCATCGGCCGTTGTTTTGCCGAGTGGCTTTTTCGACTTACCGACCTCCCGACTGTCTTTTCTGACGAGATCAGATGCAATCATGAAATGCAGGTGTTTGAGCGCAGCTTCCTGCGCGCGCTGTCGCAATTCCTCATTCGTGAGGGTGGCGTTTGGGATGCCGAAGTGTCCGACGGCTGGTCGTGGGTCTACAGCACCTTCAGAGCCTCGCCGGAGTTTGTGGAGTACGGAGCTGCAGGGCGCGGACAACTGTTCAGGATTGGGATGTGTAAGTCATCCAGCACCGGTGCAGAAGAGTGTGCGCCAGGCCGCTTGTAAGGCGTACTCAACACACATCCGACCTCGCTTGGTGAGCTTCTCCGTTGGCGGCCATTGTAGTCATCTCCTTCAGTAGGACAGTAGGTCATCATAATCGTGACATAAAGACAGAAAGACTTATCAGTACCGAAGACACTCAGGTGATGAGCTGCTCAGCGCCCTCGAAGTGGCAGCCCGGTCCTGGTTGGCCTATATGCTCGAAAGGAGTCTCCATGCCTCGGGCTGTTGCTGGGAAGGGCTGAACTCCAGATTGTCCCTGGACCCTTAAACCCGAAGCTGCGTCGTTCCGGCGGCTGCTCAAGTACAGGTCCGATCTACAGGTACTGGTACTTTCTTACGCATCCTACTCTCTTTCAAGAGCCTTGGTCACGACAAGTCAACTCGCAATGTCAAGTAATTTTGCCGATGCGCTAGTCGTACTTGTGCTATCCGATGTGCGCCAGCAGGCCAACATTCACAATTTAAACTGGAAGTGTCAGCATAAGGGCAAGCGCAGGCTCGGGGTTGTGTTCGGAGTCGAGTTTGAGGCTCTAGGCTGGCATCTTGACGGTAGGCAGTCTTGCAACGCTGAGTGTGGCAAACTAGGTGAGAAATCTTGTACGCAAGTTCGCACTCCCCTGCTTTCTGCGACGAAGACCCCCCCCAATGCCAAGCAATCGAAAAACGCCCCCCGAGCTCTGCGAACAAGGTAAAGCCCAAGGTGGAAGCCGTGCGGAGCTCTTGGAACCTTGGCAAGGAGGTCGTCTCAACTTCAACCTATATCCTTGACCTTGGAGCTGCTGGAAACTGCTTAGCAAGCCCAGGGCCTCGGTTCTGGGGGCTCGTTGCTTAGCCATCCTCCAGCTTGGGAAGGTGCCACTTGTAAAGCTCGATTTAGAGCTTGGGGTAGGAGGTGGATGGATCGGCCCTGAGGCGGGTTGAGATGTGCGACTGCACAGATTTCAGCCCAGGAATCAAATCATCACCAAGTCGGTGATGCAATCTGAGCTGCTCGGATGCACTTTCTAGCCGTTGTCGAGCAGATCGATGGCGTGCCCACAAGTACTCAAAATCCGCTGAGACTGACAAAGGTTTCGAACACACCGTTGTGCTAGAATTCAGTAGCTTGTGCATGTAACATTTCTTTCTGTCAATTTGCCATTCAGATCAACTGCTTAAGCCAGCTCCTACCAGAGAACTGACTGCCGTGCGTATTTCGATGTCTCTATCCAGATCAGGTTCTCGGACGACTCACACGCATCTGGCACTACGCACATGTCGAGCCGTCGACACAGCGTCAGCGGCCGCACGATTGCGAGCATCCACGGGACCCGTCATCTGTTGGAGCTCCTTGCGCATCTCGAGCAGTTTCACTGCACTAAAGTCTGTTTGCTTTTTGCCGCCACGATGGGCTGATAACCAAAGACTTCGCAAGCTTCACTGAGATGGCTTTCGACAAACTGCGCATTCCCCACCTTGATCTGCAGAAGACTGCACGTTTTGCGGAGTAGTTCCTCAAGGCGAATTTAGAGGCCTGCTCGAAGACTCGAGGCTCGCTCCAGCCTCTCTGACACCCCGATCGAAAACGCATTTAAAAGCCGCTGTAGAGATGCTCGGAGGACTGGGGGCATGCTGAGCAGACGCAGCAACAGCCTCAGACTGACAAATCTGCGTCTCCAGGGCAGATACATGTTGAGACACTGCCGGAAGAATGCCGCGAGTCACCCAATCTTGCCGCTCGACTGCAGAGTTCCCGCTGACAACCTGCAGGTAGCCACAAGAGCCACCAGAAGCGGAGCACCCTGAATGCGGAAATGTCCAACGAAGATGGCGTTGAGACTTGGCTTATGGGCTATTGCGAGGTGTGACTTTCGTTGACACCCAGCCATCACAGGTTGTTGTTGAACCATTCCGTCTACCTGCCCGAAACACAACAAGCCAAGGATGGGCGTCAGAGAGCTTTGGTTTCTGTTGGGGCGGCCATGGCTCGGCGGCTTCAGGTGCGGAACACAGAGCTTGAACACTCTGAGACCTTTCAGAGTCAAGCTGCACGTAAACGCTGCATTCACGGGATTGGTTCAAGGATTTCTAGATATTCTGCATACCCACATTGTGCAAATGTGCATGCATACATACGTGCCTATGTACGTGCGTAGGTGCGTATTGGGATCTCGGTACATGCACCGCGGCACCACGGCCACATCTTAAGAGGGCCAACAGCCACAGGAATGGGTTCATGTTATTGCGAGTGCGACGTCTCAACAGTGCCAACAGCAATAGGGATGCGTTTTCTAGTGGTTCGATTCTCGTAACTGTTGGTTCAAACTACAAACCTGCCTACATCCCGCAGCAGCGAGGGAGGCAAGCAGCTAACCCAAACCAGCCACTCACAGGGTGGAGTGGGGAGGGGAAGAAGAACGCCCAGAGCCAGGGGGTTCACCAAGATACAGACAGACCCTGTGCAGAGCATACAGTACTTAAAAAGCGAAATACAATATGCAATGTATCGCATATGGGTGCTCACATTCATGTAATCCGCTATATACAAGTATACAGTACAGAACAGACACGAGTCACATGAGCCAACTGACAAACGGCCCAGGTTTGTTGATGTTGCACGTGGTGTGTGTGTGTGTGTGTGTGTGTGTGTGTGTGTGTGTGTGTGTGTGTGTGTGTGTGTGTGTGTGTGTGTGTGTGTGTGTGTGTGTGTGTGTGTGTGTGTGTGTGTGTGTGTGTGTGTGTGTGTGTGTGTGTGTGTGTGTGTGTGTGTGTGTGTGTGTGTGTGTGTGTGTGTGTGTGTGTGTGTGTGTGTGTGTGTGTGTGTGTGTGTTGTGTGTGTGTGTGTGTGTGTGTGTGTGTGTGTGGTGTGTGTGTGTGGTGTGTGTGTGTGTGTGTGTGTGTGTGTGTGTGTTGTGTGTGTGTGTGTGTGTGTGTGTGTGTGTGTGTGTGTGTGTGTGTGTGTGTGTGTGTGTGTGTGTGTGTGTGTGTGTGTGTGTGTGTGTGTGTGTGTGTGTGTGTGTGTGTGTGTGTGTGTGTGTGTGTGTGTGTGTGTGTGTGTGTGTGTGTGTGTGTGTGTGTGTGTGTGTGTGTGTGTGTGTGTGTGTGTGTGTGTGTGTCCATCCCTGTTTCGAAGGGTAGGTAAATCTGAGTCGAATGAGCAGGGGGGCAGTGAGCCTTCTATCATCCACTGCCCAACGAAGACGGTGATAGAAGTGCTGTGAAGCAATCTGGGACGCCAGATTGTGTACCTGCATTGAAATGGCACGGGGGCCAAGCCGCAAACCCCTTTCCGAGCTGTGTTTGAGTGAGGGCTTGCATCGGTCAGTTTCTTGCTCAGTTCCTGTTCAAGACTACATGTTCTGAATTTTTCGTGCAGCCTCTGACTTTCCCTGACAGCTGCTGACTTTCCCTGACAGTATGCACCGACAGATCAGACCTGCGACACGATGTGTCAAGTGTGCTTCACAACGGCATTCCCTATGGGCGCCGTGTCTCCCAGAGGTAGCTCTGGCACTGACTTTCCCGATTGACTGTATAAGCATTGGATGACTTTCCCTGATTCTATATCCGTGCTTGCAAGCTGACTTTCTCAGTGAGTCTTTACCAAATGCCTGTACCGAAACCTGAATGCTGACTTTCCCACTGACTTTCTATGATCTGATTGACTTTCCCGAATCTGACTTCACCGCTGACTTGTCGCAGGTCTTCGGCTACAAGTTGAGTACATGAGCTGTACTTTTGGGTAGTTGCTGATCAGTTTGCCATGGATGCCTCAGGAAAGAGACGCAGTACCCGCACATCAATTCCCCCCCCTCCTCCCCCACCTCTCCCTCCACCCTCCTCCTCCCCCCTTCCCCCTTTGCCCCCCCCTCCCCTCCCCGCTTCTGCCCCTCCCCCCTCCCGTGGTACCACGGCGAAGTGGATTCCACCCCCCCCTCCCCTTCCCCCTCCCGCCTTCCCTCCCCCACCCCCCACTCATGCAGTTTGCCCGGCGCCTGCTCCATCTTCTTCTTTGCCGATCCCTTCTGCATCCAATGTTGGTTTGGGAACAGCAGATGTAGCTCCTACCTTGATTGCTGCACGTGCTGTAAATGATCGGCCTGTTCCACAGCAAGAGGTTCCACCAGCAATCACTCTTCATGCAGATGGCGCAGGTTTCCGTTTGTCGTTTCGTTCGGTGGCCGATTTTGCTGAATACTCAGCGATCATGTCGGCAAACTTGACACATGTCCGAGGCCACAGAGATGTGTATGCTGGCCTTAACAATTTGCTCGACATTCAGCAGACTGTTGTTTCTCAACAGAATCAGTCAACAGCATCTGGTCAGAGCCAGCAGTCAGCCCTCACATATCAAACGGATGACTCATCCCAGCCATCAAAGCGACTTCGGCAAGTCCATGGAAGCGGAGTTTCTCTTGTTGCAGATCCTAACAGCATTCGACTTCGTGCAATTTGTGATCAGATTCCTGGTACTCATGCAGATCGTGTAGGGTGGCAGCTCAGTGCGGACCAGACTTACGTCTTTCGAGTTAAACCCTTGCAAGATTCGTATGAGCATTTTGAGAATCGATCTCTTCTCAAAGGGCATGTGGAAGTTGAGTGGGAGCAAGATTCAAACTTCTTCGTGATTCCTGAACTTCGTGGGTTGGAAGTGCGCGATGAAGAAGCGAAGCTGATACGTGTGTACTCAGCTAGCTTCAATTGGGTCGCATTATACCCCATGTTTACTGCTCTACGTCACTTGATCAGTTCCAGCCCTGGCCGTATGAAATCGGCATGTGAGATTTCGAGAAAGATACAGGCCAATCTTGAGTTGCAGGTTCCCAGCTCTTTGATGCAAAGCACTGCGGACTATCTGATCAGCCTGTTAGGTCTTCCTTCCCAGTCTGTCAATTCGACGGCATTGAAGTATGTTTCTCAGGCAATTGCAGCAGCCGACCAAGCTGCAAACATTCACTCTGTGGAGCTTCGTTCTTTGTCGAGTTCGTGCAAGTGCTTGAGCATCCACTTCACCCACTTTGAGAGGACCATGATCAGGTCGCATACTTCTGCAGCAGGGATTGCTCGTTCGCCGGTTGCACACAACACAACAGTGGCCGGGGCTGCATCTATCCTCCTTGAGGGAACGATCCGACCATCGTATTGGGATGCTAGTGACAGCAAGTGGTCCCCACCAGTTTCCTTCTATGCTAGGGCTCATACTTCAGATGCAGAACAAGCACAAGAGGCAGCGTCCAAGTACGGTGGCATTCTGAGTGAGCGTCCGGTGTGCATTTTCGGATCTGCATTTAATCGTCAAGGGTCCCTCACGCCTCCCCATTCAAGGATCCCCATGGGAGGAGTTGAGGGTGACCATTCCTGCAGTTACATTCGTGACGTTGCCCGTGCCAAAGATGGCAGATGGGTCTTTCGCTCCTCATGTTTCATCCCGGAAGCGCTTCTTGTCTTTTGGAGGGTCTGAGTGCAGCATGCTGCTTTGACCAGCCACGTTCTCAAGTCTCTTCCGTTGTCAATTGCTTTGTACGCATACATGTGTCGAAAACATGCCAGTTAAGATTGTGAGATGTGCCAGCAAGAGATATGCAAGTGTGCTGCAAGTGAAGTGTCAGCGGTAGTGCAAGGGTGTGCGTCAGAGGTGCAAGAGAGGAGCAAGTGTGGTGCAAGAGTTGTGCAAGCGATGTGCAAGTGCTGCAGTTTGAGAACAACTTGAGCAGGTTTGTTCAACTACGGAGCCTTTTGATTCGAAGTGTCCTTAGCGATCCCGTGGACTTAGCTTTGTCGATAGTTCTGAAACCATGGCATGGAATGGACAGTGGGACACCAACACAGGGTACGGGAGATCCCAACAATCGTGGGGTCAGCATCGCTATCAGCCGTATAGCTCGGGAAGTTGGAATGATCCCAACCTCTCCAATTCTGCCCCTGCTAGTCAGCCACCTCCCCTACCTCCGCCTCCACTTTCTTCGGCACCTTCATCATCGCCGTCTACTCCCATGCCACTTCATCAAGGTCCTGGTCTTGCTCCTGCACTACCGAATGGATGGGCGTCAGATCGTGATGATTATGACTCAACGGTGCTTCACGGGTTGTCTTTTCGTAAGTACATCGAAGCCACCCCGTGGTCGCGAAAGAAAGGGATCGCAGGGAAAGATCCACTCAGCATTCCTGTTCAGGAATTCCTGTTTCATGGAGTTTCAGATTGGCGTCTTCGAGCATTAAGTCATGGCAAGTTTTTCAGTGTTGTGCCAGTTGCTACAGTTGCTGAAGCAGTGTTCATGTCGCAAGTGACGAAGAACCTTCGAGATCGCAAAGTTGACATCGATGCAGTTGCTACGCAACTTTTTCAGGCCGCTAATCCATCTACAATCATTCCCAACAAGAACACGGATTGTGCAGTCCTGTTTCAGCCGCTGGTTGACAAGATCGTTCAGCTCATGTTTGACAACATGCCGGTGCCCACAGGCGTTGACCAATCTCAGAAGTTCCTTCAAGTTTCGGAAGAGCTCAATCGCCGTCGTGAACAATTGCAAGCCGCAGGACTTCCCGTTACCCCCACGAAATCCGCTTCGAAAACACAGCTCCCGGTTGCTTCGCAATCTAGTGCTCCTTGTCTACAATCCGGGACACCACCGAAGACTTGGGAGAGTGACCTCAAGAGTAAGATCGACAGTGTTCCTGCTGAAGCCTTGAACGATCCCAAAGCCCGACTAAAGGGATCAGGAGAGGGGGACGTCGACAAGTGGATCCAGAGCTTCAAACGACCCCTAGGCAAGCGTTTTGCAGAATTTCAAGAGCACATTGTGTCTGTCTCCAAGCTTGTGCAGATCAACTATGGAGGCAAGGAGAAAGCCAAACTGCAAGAACTTGCAGTCAAATTCGGGATCTCGGCGACTTTTGCATCTAGGATGGGCATCAAGAGTCTCTCTACGTGCATTGCAGCGGCAGCTTTTCAAGTTGTCTGAATTGCACACAGCCTTGCTTCCAAACAATTCTCCGCAAAGGAGATTCGGTCAGCACATGCTCTTATTACAGAGATTGGCAAGTTCATGTCGTTTGTGCTTCAATTCATTCCGCATGTGGACAAAGTGATGGCCATTTGGTTGCAAGGTTTTTGTCATCTGATTCTACTGTTCCATTACTCCAGGGGTACTTCGCC